CATAATAATAATAATAATAATAAAACACAGTACATATATATGCAATACATGCACATTTCTCCATGCTTTATCCATTATGGGCCCATGCGCACAGACAGAAGAGCCCGTATAATGTAAATACCGGCGCATTTCCCTCCACCAGGAAGCTGCAGGTGCTATGTACTAAAAAAGTATTTACCTCGGTATGGACAGGGGCTGGGAGGAAGAGTCTGCAGGAGACATTGCACCCGCAATCCGATTATCATCATTGCAATGCTTTGCAGGCTCAAATGCAAAAAATGAATAACAATAAAAAAATTATTAGCACATTTTTCTCTTATTGATATGTGTGCATTTTTTTTAACCTAGACTATGCGTTTTAAACATTTATTTTTAATTTGGGATAGAATCCACTTTCCCTAATTTATTCAAAAGAATTATCTTTAGGTGCAATACGTGGGAATTTATGAAAACTGGAGCAGACAAATTCTGGAGCAGATTTGCTCCGCACCCAATCAGCTTCTATCTCTCGTTTTCAAATCTTAACTTAGCAAACTGAAGAGAGATGCTGATTGGTTGCCATGGGCAACTGCTCTAGATTTTGTCTGCTCCAGTTTTGATAAATTCCCCCAATGTGTGAAGTTACTTTTTTTTAACTGAAGACCACTGACCAATTATTATTATTATTATTATTATACAGGATTTATATAGCGCCAACGGTTTGCGCAGCGCTTTACAATATAAGGAAGACATTACAATTACAAGACAATTCAAGACAATATTAATGAGTAGATCATTGTTTTACTATCAGTTGCTTCTCAGATCACTAGATATATAACAAATATAAGGCTAAAAAAGAAAGTCTCTCTCTCTCTCACAGATCGCAAGTTTTATAAAAAAAATAATAATGTACTGGGGCTGTAGACAAAAAGTGTAACGTTTAATAAATAAACTGAACTTTTGTGTAACTAATGGCGCTCAATACACAGTACAGAACGCCGCAGAGATATTTTAAAGCATATAGACACGCAGTCTTCAAAGGTGATGCACAGTGTATCCGTTTGTTAACCTCTGCTATCATTTGTGCATACCCTGAGCTCAGCCAGGAGACATATTAAACATGAGTGTTGGATGAACATCACTGGTACACTGTTTATTTAAACATTGCACAGTACAGTATCGCCACCTAGTGGCCAAACTCAGGCATGAACACTAGTAGTGGTGAGAAGTTGAATATAAGTGGCTTGTAATGTATTAGTAGACCTAATATCAAAAAGGTATCAAAGGCTTAAGTGAATACCTGGCTGGTATAGTTCAAATTTTGTGTAATTATTCTCCCTGTTCACAGATAACCTATAGGCTGTCACCATGGATTAGCATTTACCAGGCAAGCAGGTGACACCACTTCTGCTACGGCAATTTGTCAGTATATTCCTGGGTCATATTCTTGTCTCTAAGTTCTCTGTGTTTGTGCGTTATCACAGAGAAGAAGCAGGATCACCACTATTTCAGGGCAATGGCTCATAGGTGGGAGGGAGAAGGGGAAGAAATTGGGATGCTGGATCATCCAGTGGAAAAGGTATTGACCGAGTGCAGAAATGACAAAGTAGTTCCCAGGGACCAACCTTACAATCACCAAGCAGGACCCATCTAATTTATAGATTTCAAATTGGAGGTTGCATACCTATCAATACCTATGTAAAAATGTGAAAGCTACATGAGTGCAAATAATGCACACAATCTGGCAGTGGCACATAAATGCCCCAGCTTCCATGCCCACAACAAAAAAGCAGGAAATTCAACAATACATGCATCCAGTATAAAATGCAATAAATAGGAACTTAGGAAGGTAGCACAGCGTTTTTAGTAAAAAGTTATACGTCTGAAGTTTTTTTGTTTGAATTTACTGTGAGTTTTGAGTATTTTCTTTATATAGACATTTATTAGTTAGCGTGACTGCCGGCCATGTCAACTTGGAAAGGCTAATAAAATCTGTATTTGTTTACATAAAAGTCGGTTTTATTGTTTTTGCCAGCTGACATTGTTCAGTGCTGGGGAACTTTGTGTTTTCTGTGTAGTTAAAGCATATGTGCAGCCAGAAATTTAAAGTTTTCATTTTAATAAAAAAAATTGGAGTGTGGAAGGGTTAGAACCCTTCTCAGATTTTTACTGTTGTCTCTACCCCTGCTTGGAAGAATCTAATTTCTTTGTCCTTCTGACCATAGCCACTGGAAAAGGAAGTGATGGGAAATCATACAATTTTACATTGGTCATTGGAACGGGAGGCAAGGAGAAACAACATAATGGAGCCGTGTAAACTAGCCACATTCACAACCATTCATTTTTTGGTGCACTTCCGTTAGCATCAGTTGAAAAACGGATCCAGTGTGAATAGGCCCCAAAGGGACTTTGACTTACCTCATCCTGCAGGCTCCAAGACCGACACCCACAGCCTCTTTCCCCCTGCGTTCCAAGGGTTGGAGGTCTACTGATATCATCACATCTAAATGCTGGGCCAATAGCCGTGCATTATATGCAAGGATGTTGATGGACATTGCACAAACCAGAGGGTGGGGGAGAGAGGCGAGCACCAACTGCCGGGGAGTGGGGATCAGGCAAGTAAAGCTGGCCATACACCTATAGATTTTCTATAGATCTTTTTTTTCTATCAGCCTGTGGTCAGATGGAAAGTGCAAAAAATTCTTCCATCTACGATAACTGTGTGGATGAGGAATCTCCCGCTGGACCAAGCTTCAGTATCTTGCTAGTCGGCCCCGCTGGCTGTCAAAATACCGGAACAATGCCTGCATCCAATCAGATTGTTCAGGTATTTTGACAGCCAACGGGGCCGACTAGCAAGATACTGAAGCTTGGCCCAGTGGGAGATTCCTCCATCCACACAGTTATCGCAGATGGAGGAATCTGTTGCACTTTTTACATCTGCCCATAGGCTGATAGAAAAAAAATCTATAGGTCTATGGCCAGCTTGTCCTTTACACAATGCCCTTAGACATAAACAAGCAGTTAACTCTTGCAGTGCAGGGGTAGGCCCACTCCAAGGGTAGTTTTTCTCCCCTGTAGATAGGCTTTAAAGAATGGTGCATTTTCCATAAGTGGGTATTTTGAGTTTTTATTGCAGTATTTACCTTTTTAAGTCATTGTTTTAATGTAATTTTCACTTATTTGAGCTTACATAATGTTGTTCTTGCATATTATCACCACAATGATTCTATATAATTGCTTAAAGTGGACCGTGCACTAAAAGACAGGGTCTGCTTATAACATTAGGCCTCCCTCCATCTAAAATGATGGCAATAAAGCAGAAAAAACATCTGTGGAAGAAAAGTTCGAAATTAAATGCATCTCATCCCTGGCTTCCACTTGAGGTGCCTAAGCTTAGCATGAAGGTGGCATCAAAGATCCCACATTTTATGAGAAGACGCCCTTGCACTTGAGTGTCTTCGCACAAGATATGGGATAGTCAGAATACCGAGAATCCCACAAAAAGGATCATAACGGGGGTAGAGTATATATTTTTCATCATGGTTTATTTAGGTCCACAGGTGCAGGTTAATGCAGGTATTTAATAAGTGACCTTGCCTTTGAAGCAAAACTTTAGTAAAAAAATAAAATAAAAATGAATAGCTCATTAAAAGATAAAATAACAAAACCAGCAGTATTCACATTCAATCTAGACATTTCTCTCACAGTACATTTTTTCTCCTGCTAGATGTCCTCACTCTGATGGCCAGCATCATTCAAAATCACTTCCTCTGAGCCCAGGTCATTCTGGACTCACCCCAGCCTGGACTGGACAGGGAATGCATGAGGCTGAAACCAAGTCAAATTCAGGTAATTACACCGCTTGCATGGAAAAAATTAGATTATTGAATACAGAGCTTCATTTATTTGCGTCTTTTATCCCCAGAGTTCAGCTTTAAGAACAAAGTCGGCTTTAACAACTGTTGAGATATGATATCAGAAAAGGGAGTGCATTGCTTCTAGTGTGTTTGCTGACATATAGACAGTCCTGGATTTACTCTCTCTGCCGCCCCAAGGCCAGGTTTCTCAATGCGCCCCCCTACCCACCAAACCCGCCCCATGGAGAATGGCAGACTTACAGGCTGCATACAACTGATCCTTACTCAAAGGAGGAGGGCTAAATGTATAACACAACTACCCGCCCAGCGCACGGAACTGCATGTCCTGGGCATCGGGAGATAGGCATTCTGCACCCCTGCTGCCCCTCTACTCCCTGCTGCCCCATAGCCGGGCCTTGGTTGGCCTTGTGGGAAATCTGGCCCTGCATATAGACTTGCATTGTGGGAAGAAGCAGTAAAGGACATCCATTGTGTATCACATAAGCAAGAAGCAGGGCTGCATACGTAGAGCAATTATGGCTGCCCTGGCGTATACATATAACTAAAAATTATACTTAAAGGGAGGATTTGAAAAATGTGTTACCTATCTCTTTTACATTCATAATGTAAAGAAACATTGAATAGAGTATACATCCACTTTAATCTGCCTGTGCAAAGTAAACAAAGAGATACAATTCCTATAGGTTGTTAGAGTTGATTAATTGGCTCCCTGATTCTTTTCAGAAGACCATTATTGAAGACTCTTTTATTGTAAGCCTGTCCTGAGACAAATATAAAAGCTGTCTGAAAATTAGTTTTGTGGATTTCTAGCTGATTCTTTGCCTTCAATACATTCAGTCAGTGCCCCAGAACAAGTATGCAGGACCAGGAGTTCTGTCTTTACTGGCTACATACTTGTCCCAGATTATTGATTTAGAAGATATAAACGCCAGAGACAACCAGGCAACCAGCATTTTAGAAGGTCAACGATAGCAGCTCCTATGTTTCTCTGATGAGATGCTTCCTTTAGTGATCTGATCTCCCCTCCCCAATGAGAGTATAGAATTGGTCAACGCTTTTTGGAGAACCACTTTGAACTCTCCCCATGAACTCCATTCTCACATTGAAGACACTATTGCAGCTGTCCCATTTTGACAACACTTATAATAGCTTGTTAAACATTTTTGTGAAAAGTCAAAGGCTAACATACAAGCCCGCTTTCCAAGTAAGGATCTCCTTTAATTTTGATGACCCCAAACTGTTGTCTCGTAGAGTTTCTGACCTCAAAGGTGTTTGAGATGGGTTTCAGTTGGTGGAGATGATGTAGTAGCTCAATGGCTATGCTTAAAGACTCCCTTAATACAGTCAACTGCTCGCCTGCTGGGGATGTCTGAGGCTTTATCTCCATTAGGTGAAAATTTCCTGTCACCTGGCTTGGAGGACCCACGATAACTCCATGGGGTATATGCCCCTTTGTCCAAGTTATTACTGCTACAGAGAAGACTTTTGGAATTCTGGTGATGTGGTGACTCCAGGTGGCTTCAGAAGGCTTGTGCTCCCCAACTTGTTTAATGAAAGGTTGAGCTTGATTTGAAAGAACTGCCATGAGGTTGATGGAGAAGCACTTTAGTGTCTGGAAAGCATCTTCAGCCACTGCTAATACCGTCATTCCCTTATCCCCATTTTTGATTAATCTTCCTACCATCAGCTGAGTAGACAGCGGCTGCCCATAGAGCAGAGGATGGAATTGGACAGCTCTACCATTAACATCAGAGAGTTTTTTGATGGTGATGTAACCTTTATTTGGCTGGAACAAAACTGGAAGGACAGAGATGAAAATGAGAAGCAGAACAACAGCCAAGCTGATGGATGGAAAGAAGTCTGAATCCTGGGTCCTCCGTGCATCTTCTGGAGTAGGATCAGAGTTTCCAGTATGGCCTAGCATTGTAGGAGAGGGGATAATACACTGGCGGCTGTGTGCCATCTTGCTTGGGTCTAGAGAAAGAAAAATAAAATGAAATAAAACATGAGGTTATTAATTTGGTAAGAATATAATGGAAAAGAAAATCAGTGTGACATACAGGCAGTTAGCACTTTCAGAATACAGCATAGTCTCCATTATATTTACACTTCTTTTGTAAGTTTCTTGTCTGTTCAGAATTGATTAAAGCAGATTAGTATTATGTTTCATATCATTCCAAGAGTTGTTAAGGTTAGTACTGAGACAGAAGTGGAGCAATCTTACCCCGTACCTGTTTCCTCTGCAGAGGACAGAAGTAGAATGTTATCTGTGTTTGCGTTACCAGTAACGTATGGAGATGGATCAGTGGAGAACTTGACAAACAACTGCAGCACAAACTCTTTATGGCCTCGAGGAGAAGCAAACTGATCTACGCTCCACCCTGAGACGCTTCATAGTGCGGCCGTTCATTGTACCCTGCAGCCTAAACGTCAACATTCTTTAGAAAGAACTTTGATCTAATTAAAAAACAGGATATTGATTTATAATGGAGAGGAGGTAAAATATGGAAGATCACTGGAGCCAACAACAAAAAAGCTCTGAGTAACTAAAGCTGAATTTTGAGTTCCTTCTTCTATAACTCGCTGAGATCTTAAGAGAACTATGGCCCAACCTTTTTTGGCCATAGTTCTCTTTAGGGTTACAGGAGCACATTTACTTTGTCCTCCTTGTGACCCAAAACTCAGCATATAGCAGGCTATTGCCCGCTATATGCTGACAACGCAAAGCCGCACTGCGGCCGGGAAAGATCCCGACAATATTGTCAGGATCCACCCCGCTGTCTGGTTGACATCTGGCTCTGCCTCTCTAGAGGCAGAGTCAGCTGTGTCTGCCCCTTCCCTGTCCGTCCATCCAGTCAGCGCTAGAAGAACCGAGAGGGGGGGGAATCCCTGCAGAGAAAAGATCGGGAAATGAACGATCAGTGGTATGTGATCGCAGATCCGTTCTAGATATATGGAGCCGACATGCGACAGCTTCAGTTCAGCTCTAATTAGGGGGAAGAGTCTATTTCACTCTCCCCATAATTCTCCTTTAATTCATCAAGCTGCAGAAACAGTTGAGTAGTGCGGTCAATGAAGCCACTTTAGCATGCTCTAGGTGCACTTTGAGTTACCTTGAAGGAAACCTAACCTGAGAGGCACAAAGGCTGCCATTACTAGTTCTCACTTTGCAAATTCTGTCATATGTACCCTTTACAATACATTGAGTGCCTAACCTGGAACAAGCATGACAATAAAGATGTCTGACTTATACATATGGCTTACTGAACCCAGCTGGTCACTGTACAAGCAATAAACCAATAAACCAAGCCTCTTTATAAGAGGATTGGCAATAGCAGCCCTAGTGTCTTCCCTTAAAGCTTTATTGCTTTAAGGGACATCTTGTACAACTAAATTAACACTAATATACCTTCATTTTATAAAATGCTATGCAAGCTGATATTTCCCTGGTACCCGACACCCTCATACACTACAAATCTGGCATTCAGCACACATTCTCTGCAGGTGAATCTTTCAGCCGCATATGTTATAAATAGCATTGACTGATTCTCCACCAGAGAATGTTTGGTGGAAGTAACATTCACTTCTTTAAAAATAGAACCCCTATATATCTGTGTCCTGTACCTTTGCTACATAGTGAAATTATCATTGCAGTTTTTTACTCATCTGTCTCAGCTCAGGTATGCTAAGGTGGAGGAGCTCAGTAGATGTAGGAACTCAAGCATCACACCAATTAAACTAGTCCTGATGCAAATGTATTCCATTAAGGCTGGGGACATTCAAGAAGAGTAGGCAATGCGTTTCAGGGGTCCAAAACACACACCCTTCATCAGGGACTAATGAGAGAAATCAAGTATGTGGACTACAATCCCTGCAGCTTGACACATATAAAAAGAAACACAGTTATTCCTTTTATAAGCAAATTTACAAATATGTCACAATATCCTCAGCCTGGTTAGTAGCAGTAAAACAAGAAAATGTTAATGTTTAAATGCATGCCCCTGATTGGTTGCAATACGGCACTACAGATAGTTCTCTCTAAAAAAACTGCTCGTATTTGCTCCACAGCTACCAATCAGGTTGAGATCTGCAATGGAAATTGATGGTATCAAAAAAATTTGAAATCCGATTGCGGAAGACAAAAAGGTGGCTGTAAATGAACAGATTTGACTCACTAGATTTTGGATATGATGCACACCTGGTGAGGCACCCCACTGAAGAAAGGGAAGAAGTGGTTGAATATATTTTGACTTCTGTAACACTGATTAGTGTTTGTTTCACCCACCTTCACACAGCCCAGAATGCCTCATTCCCCTTCACAGTTTGCATCTATAGATGGGGCCCCCGATGATGGGGCTCTAAACCAGGCTCCCGTCAATGTGTGGGACAAGTGCTCGGGACACAGCAGTCTGGAATGACAACCGACTTGTTTGTCAGGTTAGATTGTCAGTAGCAGGCAGGAATGTGGATCAATAGAATGCCAGTCACTTGCTGGAACTGGCTCTCCCAATTGGCTTATACCGTCAGATATTATTATCTAAAATGGAAATTCACTTTTTAAAGAAGAGGGGGAAGAAGGTGTTAACCATGTGTGTCCTGCTGCAGAGGAGGGGCAGATCTAGGTCCCCCCACCCGTGGAAACATCTACTGTCTATGGCTAAAACTATATACTTCCTAGAGATTAGCTAATAAGGTCTCTCAGCTGAGTTCCCATGTTTGCATGCCTGCTGTGCCCATTATGGGGATCTCATCATCCCTGCTGGATTATTTCATTTATATTATAGCAAATTCAGAAATAGTAGAGGGATCACATCAAACAGGGCCTATAGACTCCTCCTACCGTTGAAATCTGACTTTAGGGTGGTTATAGACTCCTCCTACCGTTGAAATATGACTTTAGGGTGGTTTGATCCTTTAATCAGGCAGGTGAATAGTAACTCATGAGTAATAGTAACCCATGATTCTCAGAGAATTTTTTGTACAAGTCATTCTGAATTGAGAAAGCTTATTGGATGACTAGTGAAAAGTCTTCAAGAAAAATACAGCAAGTCCAGTTGCCTTGACTTATTTTTTTACAAATAACCCATGAGGAGCACTGGGATCCTGTGTTCATTTCCCACCAAAGGGACTGTTTAGAGCAGGGGTATGCAACCTAAGCACTCCAGCTATTGTGGAACTACAAGTTCCATTAGGCATTGCAAGACTGACAGCCACAGGTATGATTCCCAGAAGCAGAAGCAAGATGGGACTTGTAGTTTCAGCACAGCTGGAGTGCTGAGGGGGCCTATCCTTAGTTTGGAGTTTTTATGTTTCCTGTGTGTTTCTCTGGTTTTCTTCCACAACAAGCCATGCTGGTAGGTAAATTGACCTCCACCCAAAACGACTGGTGTATAACTGGGGCATTATACTGTCACCTTCGTGGGACTAAACAGTGAAAGGTTCTCTGTAAAGACGTCAATGAAAAATGCCTCTGCTGTGCTGCATGAGTTAATATAAAATCAACCAATCAGAATAATTTTGCAGGTAAAGTTTGCTTGATTCATGTTGCTGCAGGCCATCGCTCTCCAATGCCTCTTTTCACCTAATTAGAACCCAAGCCAATACAAACAGCCTTATCAGATATAATGAAGATTAACATAATTAAAAGACATCAGTCAGCACCAGGTCAGCAGTTTATCATTTCTGTTAATTGCTTGTGGAATAATCAAAGGTACATGCAAATGCTCTGGGTGGGTTTGTTCTTTAAAATGGAAATAAAACAAAACAAAAAGTACATTCATTATTTTTTTGCATAGGAGCCAGTAAAGTTTTGCAACCGCAATCAGCAGATTGCAGGTGTAATGCTCTGGCTCCTGCAGACTCTTCCTCCCGTCCATGCCCGTATCAAGGTACGGACATGCAGTAACGTAAACGGAAAGAAGTGTCAATGGACCATAAGTGCAGTGATGTCACCACACTTGTGTTCCTTTGAGAACTACAAGTCCCTCTGTCGCAGTGGCTGAGTTTCTCTATTCACAGTTCCAGTCAAAGGATCTGTGACTAGATGACGTAGCTGTGTTTGCGGCACCATGGATAGCCGCACCAAATTCACAATTGTAAAGAAGCCTGCGGTGAGAAGAACCTCTCGATTCAGGTAAGTGGAGGGCGAGAGGGTTTGTGGTCAGAAAGGATTACTTTTAACATCTCCCAAGGATTACTCTCAACTCTTAGGCCTTGTTCACACCAAATGCAGAGCAGATCTGCATGAGTTTCTGCACACGCAGTGCAGTGGGTTGTGCCGCGTTTTTGATGCGTTACGGGGCGTTTTTGATGCGTTTGCATGTGTTCCAGAGCAGGTAAAATAGGGCCTGCTGCAGTTTTTTACCTGCTGTGGAACGGAATGCTGCGATGTGAACTGGAGCTAAAAATATCATTGGAATACATTGGACGCAGTTTTGCTCCGGTCTGTAACTGCTCTGCTCTGCTCCTGGAACGCGCTCGGTGTGAACAAGGCCTCAGCCTCCATTCACATATAGCGTTTGCATGTCCCGCACTGCACGCAAACTGCACCCAAACGCTAAAATCTTTACAACTGCACAGATTCCACTCGTTTGTGGCTATTACTATAGCCGCGAACATGTGGAATCCGCCCTTGAAATTGCGCTTGTACTATTTTGCGGGACGTCCGGTTTTGTACCACGCAGCCGCCGCAAAAGTCTGAACAATGCACATTAAAGTGCATTGTTTTTTATGTTTAGAGCGGTTCCGTGCGGATTCGCACAGCCGAATACGCCCGAACAACCGCTCCTGTGTGAATGGAGCCTTAAAAGAGAACTATAGGGTAAGTGTTTTTCCCCATAGTTCTCTTAAGGGTCACAGGAGGACATATACTAACCTCCTCCCGTGACCCAAAACTCAGTATATCATGAGCAACAGCTCGTGGTATACTGAGACCGCCGCAACCGGGACGGATCCTGACAATGCTGTCGAGATCCACCCAGCTGCGTGAATGACAGCTGGTTCGGCCTATCTAGAGGCAGAGCCAGCTGTGCCCGCCCCCTCCGTCAGTGCTGGAGGATCGGAAAGGGGAGGGGGGAATCCCTGCGGGGAGTGGTGGCTGACAGTCACCGCTCTCTGCAGGGAGATTATTGAGAAGTGAGCGACGGTATGTGTTTGCTCACTTCCCAATCTATTGAGCCCAGCCGACGTGTGACCAGGCCCGGATTCCCCACAAGGCCACCGAGGCCATGCCTCGGGGCGGCAGCGGTGTGGAGTCCCCCGACGGCCGGAACATACAGTTCTGGGCGCCGGGCGGTAAGTTACCTTCACATTTAATTAATAAGATAGAAAATTTAAAAAAATAAAAAAGTAAACAACAAGCTAAAAATGTAAAAAATATATAAAAATGAAAAAAGAAAGGGGAGGGGGCACATTGCGGAACCAAGCCTTGGGGCTGCAGTGAGAGCAAATCCGGCCCTGCATGTGACAGTTTCATTGTCACATGCCGGCTCGAACCGTTTTCTCTAGGATAGATTTCAAGGTCCTCAGACTTGGACACTGGTCACTTATACTTCGTTTCCGTTAGGGTATTGAAAGATTAAAATCCCTGTTAGAATTTTATTGCAGTTTGCATCCACACTGGGGAGATTTCTCTTCACTTCCCATCCTGGTGAAAGAGGAAATTATCTACAAATTGAGGGGAAACCCTTTCTTGCTGGAACAAATGTCCCAATTAGATATTTTTCACTCAATGACAACTGTAAACTTTTTTTTAGATTCCCCACCATGTTCTGCCCCGGATGACAATAGTGAGGGACAGCAGTGAAAACCTGACAGGTATTCTAACACTTCCCTACTCTAACCAAAGCAAAAACAAATGTTTGGCTTTAAAAATGGATGATGCCATCTATGGGGCCCTCATCTTTTACCCCTGGCTGTCCCGCTAATGAAATCGCCGTGGCTGCCATTATAATCTTTTTACAAAAAGCCTTAATCTGAGTCTGTAAAAAAAAAGCAGCCTGTGTGTTCCCTGGTTCCAGGCCTGTTCCTTACTGAGCCCACTGCAGCCCCGCCCACAAAAGGGTTACCAACTCAAAAGGTGTTCTCTTTAGGGCTGCAACCAACTATTATGTCAACTATTCTCATTATTAATTACTTGATCTAGATCACCTAGTTCTCTTCTCCACGCTGGGAGCCGGTGTTTCATCTCCTCCCAGCGGGGATCAGAGGGGACCCAGACCTCTGCAGCCAATGCCCAACAGTGAGGAGAGCTCCCTCTAAACCTCCCCCTTGTTGGTTATGTGTTTAGATGAAGCACTAAGATTTTGAGGAATGTTGAACTAAGTTTTGTGAATACAGAATTGTGTGTGTGTGTATTTCTATGCTTGTTCTGTGGCAGAGATTCATTGAGTCAAAGCCAAAGCATGACAACAAAGGAACTGGTATTCTTAAAGTCAGCAATGTGAGCACACACCTTTTCTTTTGACAGGTGCACTTTAAAGTAAACCTTTCCTGAAAGATATGGGAGCCACTATTCAAAATCCCCTTCTGATATTAGTTGTTCAGCTAGTACATTGACACCCTATTGAGCTCGATTGGTCAGTCATTCACCTGGAACAAGTATTCAGATCTATAAAGCCAGATATCCTTATTTTCATGCTTGTTCTAGGTAAGGGACACCCGACTTTTGAAGCAAGAGGGTACAAATGGCAGCCAGGAAACTAGTATTTTTGAGAATGAGAAGCAGCAATGGAAGCCTCCATGTCTTTCACAGGAAACGTTTTTTTCTTTTTTACTTTTAGGCCTCATTCCAACTGGAATTGGCCAGCAAGTACAGCTCCGTACTGCGTGCACGGCCTTATCGGGCAACTCCCGTGAAGGACAGGGGCTGTGTGTGATTAGTACGCAGCCCCCGTCCTTCTCTATGGGACTACGTGACTGTACGCCCCCCTACGCTCACCTCAAGTGCAGGTCCGTAGGGGTGCGTGTTTCCTGGCTTGGACGAAGACAGGATTCTGACGTGCGCGTAGGGACGCTTATGGCCGCATAGTCCCATAGAAAAAAACGGGGGCTGCGTACTAATCACACGCAGCACCTGTCCTTCCCGGGTGCTGCCCGATACGGCCCTGCACGCAGCACGGAACTGTATGTGCAGGCCGATTCCAGTGTGAATGAGGCCTTAGTGTCATGGCTGAGCTGCATGACAGGGAAGCATGGATCACCAAACTAGCTGAACAGAAATCAGAAAATCTTTTGGCATTTGGCTTGCCTGGAATTCAGCTTTGTTCAGCCGGCAGTTTGTACCAACTGGCCATAGACTTCTGGAAAGGTGCCAGCATTGGCGTGTGGGAGGGCAGCTGTACAGGACAGGATACCATGGATAATGACAGAT